TGATGTCGACGCCATTGGTCTTCGTCATCTTGACCTTCTGGGTGGATTCCCAGAAAACCTGGCGGAGGACCCAGACGTTGTCACCGGTGTGAACGGTCAGCCTCTCGTATCCTTTGGCCAGATCAGTTCCAGTCTTGGGCTAGGCTCCAAGACTCACCGCACCACCATACACGTGTACTCCGAGCTGTCGGATGCCTTGCCCACTCGGACATCCCTGTGTGCGCTCGGATTGCTGCCGCCCAACTGGCCTTCTGTTTGCCGAGTTGAGCGCAAGCAAGCACCTGAGCCCACCGCCGACCAGATTCGCACTGAGCTGCTGGAGGAGTTTTCTGACGTGTTCGACTCTGACAGTCTGAAGCCCATGTCTGGTCCGTCAATGGACATTCAGCTCGAACCAGACGCTACACCTTCCTGTGTTCATCACGCTAGACCAGTGCCCTATGCGTTTCGGGACCAGATTAAGGAACAGCTTGACAACATGGTGAAGGATGGCATCATTGAGCCTGTCTCTGAACCCCTCGACTGGTGCCACTCTATTGTTATAGTCGACAAGAAGGGCACCACTGAGAAGCGTCTAACGGTGGACTTCAAGAAGCTGAACGATCAGATCCAACGTCCCACGCATCCGACACAGCCACCTCATGATGTCGTCACCAGTGTCAGCGGTCGCTTCTTTACGAAGCTCGATGCTCGCCATGGCTACTGGCAAGTGCCACTCAGCGAAGCAGCGCGGCCATTGACAACGTTTATCACTCCATGGGGCCGGTATCAGTACTTGCACAATCCGCAGGGCCTCATCTCGGCCGGAGACGAGTATAACCGCCGTATGAGCACGGCATTCGACAACATCACCAATTTCAAAAAGGTCGTCGACGACTGTCTCGTCTATGATGATGACCTTGGTGACCATGTGGCACGCGTCCGGCGCGTATTGTTGTGTGCGCGCGAGCACGGCGTAACCCTTAGCGCGAAGAAGTTTGTGTTCGCTGCTACCGAGATCGAGTTCTGCGGCTACATCCTGAATGCTGACGGTTGGACTGTCGATGACGCTAAGCTCTCCGCTATCCGCGACTTCTCCACCCCGACGAATCGGACCGACCTCCGATCGTTCATGGGCCTCGTAAATCAGCTTGCTGAGTTTACACCTGCTATCGCCGAGCTGGCGACACCGCTTCGTGGTCTGCTGAAGACGGCTGCTGTTTTCCAGTGGGAAACACCACACACCGATGCGTTCAACCGTGTGAAGAATGCTCTGGTCGAACCCCCCATTCTGGCGTATTACCAACCTGGTCTGGAAACACGTCTGGAAACAGATGCATCCCGCACGAAAGGTCTCGGCTCTGTTCCAACTGCACCCGGAGTGGAAACAGCGTGCTACCAGTATAGAGAGTTCTGATTCTCCACCTGTCCCGGATCCAGATTCGTCTCAGCCGCGCACGTTGTCTAAGCTCACTATTGGCATGCACGTAGATCTGCAAGATCCGCGCACCAAATGGTGGACAGGTCGAGGCATCGTTGTCGCCATTGGTACCCATCGAGAGTATTACGTCAAGCTACGTAGTGGTCGTGTGTTTTGGCGAAATCGTCGCTTCCTATGTCCCATTGCTGCCTGATCGCGTTTCTACTGATAGTGCGTCTGAACCTGCTGTTCCCGCACCTACTGAGCCTGTTGTTGCACCCCGTCGCAGCACCCGTAACCGCCGTCAACCTGTCCGTTTGAACATTTCTGCACACCAAGGACAGTCATATGTTTGATTAGTTTTTCTTCTTCTGTAGTCTGTGCTACACTGTGACTGTTCTCGTTGCCTTGCCTCTTGTTCATGTTTTTTTTTGGATCTTCATAGTTATTATGTTAAGATCATAGTCTGGCTTGTTCACCCATTATGATCTCGGAAGGGCGTGTTGTATTATTATGTACGCTATCCTATATGCAACCACCCGCGTGCATCTGTCTTATTGTACGCAGTTTACGTTAGCTTACGTCATGCATTGGTATTTGGCATGCTCGCATGACTACACATTGAGCATGCTGATTCGGTTGTGCTGTTCTTTGTTTTGTTGTTCTTTTCCACTCGCTCCTCGATGGAAACTACTACAAAGTATTTATTAGAATAAACCAATACGTTTATCACACTGCCTTCATGAGAGAGCGGGGCACAGACAAGCAATGTCATGTGCAAGCATGTATTAGTAGCGGACATGCAGCCCGGTGGTCAATACGTACGTGATTTAGCGTTACAGTGTCCAGTGTTGTCTCCCTATATTATTATTAAGCCACGACCTCGGGTGTACTCGTATGCTACATACATGTGCAGTTGCGCTAAACTGAAATCTGACCCAAAGTGCTAAGCTGGCGCCCTCAACCTGCACCGGCTTTGGTTGCCTGGAAGTGGCACGAATGTGGCTGGACGTACACCTGCACCGGCCTTGGTTGCCTGGAAGTGGCACGAATGTGGCTGGACGTACACCTGCACCGGCCTTGGTTGCCTGGAAGTGGCAAGAATGCTGCTGGACGTACACCTGCCGCTGGCCTTGGTTGCCTGGAAGTGGCATGAATGTGGCTGGACGTACACCTGCACCAGCCTTGGTTGCCTGGAAGTGGCACGAATGTGGCTGGACGTACACATGTAAAGATACAGTACATGTGCAGATGCAATGATGTAAACTGGGATAGGAACTGGTCCAGGCCGCCAGCTTTGTACTTTGGGTCGGATTTCAGTGAGCACAGCAACTGTAGCATAGGTCTTGTACTTCGAAGTATGATACAGTGCATGTTCAGTTTCAATTCATTTCCATGTTTTTAAAACCCTTTGGAGTCCATAACTATTTCACTTTATTGCAACACTGATTTCAGTGCTCCGTTTTCCGAAGACCAGCCCCCCCCCCCCCCCCTCTATGATTGTTCGAGGGGTACTCAATTCATGCAGTTATGTGTTTACAGTGTAACATTCACGTTTCCTTGTAAAACGTGTTCAGATACGAAGTTTGACTGGTACACAGTTCCTGGGTACCTGGGTACCTGGGTAGGTCTACCTGGGCGAATTATCTGTCCAGTTGTACTAATCTTGTACCTCGTCCAGCCGCTATCTCCAAACACGCAGCATTTTCTTTGAACGTTCCCTCGTTCTAGCATTACCAGATTACTGATCAGTCTACGTGTGCCTGTGACTGTCAGCGTCACGTACATACACCCTTCGTTTCTTACCGTGTTGTCGAGTCACTTCACTGCATGGTGCACTTGACAATCCGTGTTCTCTGTATTTATTCTCATGTCCTCTCTTGAGTCTTGGTCTCTCTGGCTCTCCAACAGTCACAGAACTGACTGTGCATCCACTGACAGCAGCAGCAGCAGCAGCAGCAGCAGCAGCAGCAGTGGCAGCGGAACAAGCCCTGCAGTAGATCTGCAATAAACCCGCGGAACAAGCCCTGCAGTAGATCTGCAATAAACTTGTGTTCTGGGTTCTTGCCATACAGCAAAGGCAAACTGTCGCCACTAGAATGAAGTTCTGAAAAAGCCACTGAAATATTCTGCTGCAGAAAAGAGAACATGAAACTCAATCCGTTCGCATTTCCAGGAACGCATCGACTTTCACTGATACGGACACAATTGTATCGAAAATGCTCCATAAGGAATCGAAACTTGTAGTCTCGGCAAGTTTCTATCGACTCTCGTATTTCGATTCTAGCGCGGACATACATGTACATGTACAATGATTACTCGTATGTATCACGGACCGTACTAGTCTGGTACTATAATCATGTAGCACTAGCAGGTAAATGTACAGTACTGGTCCTTGCGGGTGCGGACACGGGGAAATCCCTTGAATCCCCTGCACTACATGCACTATCCCGCCCTGACTGACAAGTAACGCACGCGCACGTACAGTTCTGACAGGGCTAGCTCAGGGCCCGGTACGGCGGTAGGGGCATCAGATCGACCTCATGAATGAAGTAGCGCCACCGTTCGAGCGCAATGAACAGTGTGTCTGTGTGTGCGCGCGCGCGTGCGTGTGTGTGTTTGTGTGCGCGAGTGTGTATGTGTGTGTGTGAGGTGCAAGGGCCATGTAACGAGGCCTGGCGCAAATATTCATGAGGTCCAATTCTTTGTCCCTGGCATGGTTGCTGTCACTCTCTCCTTTGTAGCTTGGTATTATTTCACCCACTCCAGATCCCTGCTGCTGCTTTGGAGATGGTAAGTTTTTTTATATACATATACATCTGCATGTAAGAAAGAACCAGTCTACCCGTGACCATCATAGCTATGTACCAATACTGGCTAAGAGCAAGCTTCACTTGATACAAGTGAAATCCGGGTAGCTACGTACACAATAGGAGTCTAGCTACGCCCATTTCTGCGTTTGTCACAAGCACCAAGTCGTTGCTAGGGTTCCCAGTAAAAAGGGAACGCCTGTTGGGAGTTCCCTAGTAAAATGATAAATAATTCTACTACTACTCAAGCTGCGGACAGAACTGTTTCGTTCTTCAAGTTGTGAACTCATCAGGGCAGCACAGAGAAAATTAGGCCGAACCTGACAGCGATGAAAATAAATTTTCCAAAGCCAGAGGCCCGGGTGTACCTTGCCAGAGTGCTCAAACTGACAAATCAGTGAGCTCTGGATAATGCAAACAGCAAATGCACTACCCCACACGAGAGTGCTCAACTGCTACAAGAGCAGGAGAGAAATACTCAAATTCTACGACTAGCTACATTGTAGTCTATTACTACTAGCTACATTGTAGATAGCATGAGAACTATACGATGTCATGATAATGTGTACTATCAATACAAAACTATCAACTGCAGCATACATGCCATACATGATAATGTGTACTATCAATACAAAACTATCAACTGCAGCATACATGCCATACATGATAATGTGTACTATCAATACAAAACTATCAACTGCAGCATACATGCTATACATGATAATGTGTACTATCAATACAAAACTATCAACTGCAGCATACATGCTATACATGATAATGTGTACTATCAATACAAAACTATCAACTGCAGCATACATGCCATACATGATAATGTGTACTATCAATACAAAACTATCAACTGCAGCATACATGCCATACATGATAATGTGTACTATCAATACAAAACTATCAACTGCAGCATACATGCCATACATGATAATGTGTACTATCAATACAAAACTATCAACTGCAGCATACATGCTATACATGATAATATGTACTATCAATACAAAACTTTCAACTGCAGCATACATACTATACATGATAATGTGTACTATCAATACAAAACTATCAACTGCAGCATACATACTATACATGCAGTGTGTAACACTGTAATGAATAAACACAAATGCACACCCTGCAGCTGGATCAGATAACTCACAACGAATGCACATAGCCCGCACATGATTGCCATTTTGTACTGACATAAGAGAAAGATGATCTATCATGACATCATGACACCGTATCATCATGACATCATAACATCATGACATCATGACATCATAACATCATGACACCGTAACATCATGACATCATAACATCATGACATCATAACATCATGGCATCATGTCATCATGACATCATAACATCATGACATCATGACACCGTAACATCATGACATCATAGAGCCCGCAGACACCACGCATGCATGGTATATGTGTGGTTCAAACAGAAAGATAAATTCTCTTCTTATAATGAAAGCGAAAAGGAATGAATTCGCCGACAGTCATTTACTATGGCATTGCATTACGTTTCAGGATTAATATCACATCGAAATCAGCTCATCAAACCTCGCCTTTGCATCTCTCAACAACATTGCTGCACCGGCGGCTGAATATCTATTCCAGCGGTTACAGAAAACACATCAATGAAAATGCATTGTGACGCCGATTACTGAGGATGCGCTGTAACGGTTACTGAAGTCTTGTCTGTTTCCGTAATTACTGGAGAATCTTGAAGAAGTACTCAACCTAGGGGAATGAAAATTTAGTAGAGGAAAATATGGAACCCGCGATTACAGGACGCACACACATACACACATGCACGAACACACCCATACACACACACACACACACACACACATACGCGTGTGCGTGCACACACACACACACACACACACACACACACAAGAGCACACACAAACAATGTCTAGCAATGCACTCCAGGGCACTTTGCACATTTCATTCTTTCGTTATCTTAGCTCTCTTTCTGAACTCTGCTAACAGTAACAACTGCTGCTTGGAGTGTGAGTCGGAGAGCAGCGAAAGAAGCAGTTGTACAAGAGCAACAACAAAATGGTGCTCAGATCTACGACCATGAGATTAAGCCAAGCATGGTCTACCGAGTGTGCAACAGGAACAATTCCATTCTCGATGGGAAGGAGAGTTCAGACAGAATACCATAAGAGAGATTGTGTGAGAAATGCAGATGCGACTCCCGCATATACAGGCACATCTGAACATTGCAGCATTCTCAGGGGTAGACCCACACCACAGACAAAGGGTTTGTCTACATAGGCAGACAAGATATCGAAAGGAGGTATGGGAATAGGACATATGTCCTGTTCCTCACTGACATTCCCTATGAACTACAAGATTAGCGTGAGAATGAGACCAGACCAGAATAGGACCAAAACCGGAGTGAGACCAAAACCGGAATAAGACCAAAACCAGAATGAGACCAGACCAGAATAAGGTTGTATTTGTTCGGTCATTCCGGAATGAGCATGGAATGCAGTCGATACCCATCGCGGAGTCGGAATGAGAGTAGCAAACAAACGCGCGTGCATGCACTCGGGAATCTGGCAAACGTTTTGCGAGACTCCGGAAACGGCGGTCGAATGTTTTGTTTTTGAGATCTACGAGTTGTTTTTTGCTGCCTTGCAAAGATAAGCTGGTAGCCTAAGAATGTTGTGGTTGCTATCTTGCTTCCGTACGTTTCTAGTTCTGCATGCCCCTACGACGATCATGGTGAAGGAGCGGCCAAACTCGGCACAGGTCTACGAGCTCCACTGCGGTACACGCCTGTACGCGACGTTTGGCCGCTACTTCATCATGACTATTCTGTATTCAACCTCGTATCAGTCACAGAAACGGCTCTAGCTCTTCACGGATTGGAAGCGCTTGTATGACGGAGGTGCGGTTGTACGAAGAAGTCGAGTGGCAGGTTCAGTGCCCGTGTGGGTGATTATGTGCTATGCAATGGTGGGCCTGCCTCCCTGACCGAGTGATTCTGGAGGCCGTGCTCGACGATGAGGAGGAGAGGTGCGAGGGCATCAATCCAGTTCTTGTCCTGACCGAACGCTGTCTCAGGCAGCGAAGGGTAAAAAATGCCACAAACCAGTAGCGGTAACTATCCCGAGGTTACAGTACCAGCCTACACCCTGGACGATTTTCGGCAACATTCCGTCTGTCGACAATCGCGTTTGAGGTTTTGTTGGCGGAGGTATGCAATAGTGACAGCCCCCAGTGGCCGCCGCACATTTTCAATCCGCTCGGAATGAGCACTCATTCCACTTTTTTCTTTGGAATCGCCAGAATCGATTCTGCCCCCTTCATTCCGTGACCGGAATCGGAATTACACGGAACAAACGCTGTCCGGTGCATCAAACTAACGCACCGCAACCAAAGCACAGCGGAATGACTTTGGAATGGTGTCGGAATGACACCGAACAAACGCAACCTAAGACCAGACCAGAAAAAGACCAGACCGGAATAATACCAGACCGAACTGAGACCAGACCAGAATAAGACCGGACCAGAATAAGACCAGACCAGAATAAGACCAGACCAGAATAAGACCAGACCAGAATAAGACCAGACCGGAATGAGACCAGACCAGAATAAGACCAGACCGGAATGAGACCAGACCAGAATAAGACCAGACCAGAATAAGACAAGACCAGAATGAGTCCTGACCGGAATAAGACCAGACCGGAATGAGACAAGACCGGAATGAGACCAGACCAGAATGAGACCAGACCGGGATGAGACCAGACCGGAATGAGACCAGACCGGAATAAGACCAGACCGAAATGAGACCAGACCAGAATAAGACCAGACTGGAATGAGACCAGACCAGAATGAGACCAGACCGGAATGAGACCAGACCGGAATAAGACCAGACTGGAATGAGACCAGACCGGAATAAGACTAGACCGGAATGAGACCAGACCGGAATGAGACCAGACCAGCATAAGACCAGACTAGGCTTTCCCCAAATCGGCCCGGTTTTTGTTCGCCTATTTGGCTGTTCGCTCGGTTCAAAAATACATCAGATTCGGCTGAAAAATCAGCCGATTGTTCGCAAATCGGCTGCAAAATTGGAATATTTTGGAAAATCGGCCAAAGGAATTGTGGGCATGGCTTCAAAAGTGGTGAGACACTGGGGAAAAGAAATTTGAGTATTTTACTAGTAATGATCTTTCTAATGGCTAATGTTTGTTTGAAAGGAGTTCAAAGGACACGAGTCACATGACCTCAACACACTAGTACCACAAGTACTGCCATGGAGAGCTCGAGCGGTCATGTTTGCAGCAACATCTTTCATTCGTAAACTCACTTTGCAACAACATTTGGTAGATTTTAGGAGATTCTCAAAGGAACCCTACAAAATCGGCGAAAACCTTATAAATTTTTCGGTAAGTCTCGTTTACGGAGAATTTTGCGGCCGGCCGATTTGGGGAAAGCCTAGACCAGACCATACCAGCATGACACGAGACCAGCATGACACCATACCAGCATGACACGAGACCAGCATGACACGAGACCAGCAGGACATGAGACCAGCATGAGATAGAGCTCCACTCACCTCCAGCATACCGTCATCAGCTAGGTCCGTGCAGTGAACAGCATTCTTCAATTTATTGTGTCCATATTTTGCACGCAACGTGCTGGGACGCAAGTGACGAGCTATCTCCTGTTGAACAACAGAACAGATGATAAACGTACACATACACGTACACACGATTGTGCAATCACATTATATCACACGTACGCATGCACGCACGCACACACACACACACACACACACACACACACACACACACAACCACACACACACACACACATATGTTATGTTTATAATTATTATTGTGAGCACAAACACACAATCAAGAATAAGAAGAGAAAGCAACTTTCGCCGTTTCTGGGATATGTACAGTAAGACTTCTAAAAAGTAGTAGCAGCTACCACAATGGTGCAGTCGCAGAAGCCATAGCAGCTACAGCAGCAGCACTGAAGCATGTGCAGTGGGAGTAATAGCAGCTACAGCAGCAACACTGATGCTGGTAGAGTTGGCGAAATAGCCTTTCAAGCTCAAAAGTATGACAGGCTACTGCATGGCTGGACTGATCAAGGACTATTTGAACTATGGCACGATCCCCTGGATGTAGTAGAGCAAATGATAGCAAATTGAGGAGTCGAACCCTAGCCCAAACAACAACAGCATACCACCAGCTAGGGAGTAGTACATGATTAGTGGCGAATGTTGATCTTACTGGATCTGCTGGTCCAACAAACTGTCTGAACTGCTCTACACAAGCACCGCCATGTTGATGAGTTAATGCCATGGCAACGCATGCTCCTGAGCACAACTCAGATACCATCTCCTGCCGAGTGGCACAATAGGAAAGCAGACAAACACACACCGACACACAGACACACAGACACACACACACACACACACACACACACACACACACACATGCATACACACACGTACAGACACACACAAAACACACATGCATACACATGCACACAGACACACACAAAACACACATGCATACACACGCGCGTGCGCAGACACACACAAACACATAATGTACATCAACATTTCTCTCCTGATATGTAGAGGAGGACATGTCCAGGCGGCCACTCTGATAATGAGACCACCTGCCACAGGGGACCACTAAAACTAGGATCAAGGGACACCCTGGATAAGGAGACCACCTGTCACAGAGGACCACCATACCTACGACCAAGGGATACCCTGGATAAGGAGACCACCTGTCACAGAGGACCACCATACCTAGGACCAAGGGATACCCTGGATAAGGAGACCACCTGTCACAGAGGACCACCATACCTAGGACCAAGGGATACCCTGGATAATGAGACCACCTGTCACAGAGGACCACCATACCTAGGACCAAGGGATACCCTGGATAATGAGACCACCTGTCACAGAGGACCACCATACCTAGGATCAAGGGATACCCTGGATAAAGAGACCACCTGTCACAGAGGACCACCACAACTATGATCAAGGGACACCCTGATAAGGAGATCACCTGTCACAGGGCACGATGACAACTATGATCAAGGAACACCCTGGATAAGGAGACAACATGTAGACAGGGCCTAAATTTCGACGACCCATTGAGCAGTCAACATTATGCAGGAGTCACTGCAGGAAGACATGGCCTGTAGTCTCCTTACGTACTGATGCTCAATACGTAGAGCCCATAAGCTGTTCTGCTGGCCTACCAGCATGACATCATTGGTAAAACGTCTAAAGGCTGCCTTTGCCTCGACCAATATCAAAACTAAATTCCACATGTAATGGATTGGGATTTGGTGATGAACGGTGCGTCACAATCTCATCAAAGCAACACAATCAACCCCGTGATGAGAAGTACTCAGGCTGGTAAACAATTGTCTTTGTCATTTCTTTTACCCTCTAGGCTCTAACTCACCGGATATTCGGCAACAACACCTCTGTAGACTTCCAAGAACTCCTCTGCTGTGCTCTTGTCCAAATGGTACTAGACACACAGAAAGTTACATACACACACACAGGAACACACAAACACACACATGTACACACACGCACGCACACACACACACACATGCACACACACACGCACACACACACACACACATGCACACACACACACACACACACACACACACACACACACACACAAACACACACACACACACACACACACAAACACACACACACACACGAATAGCGTAAGATACACGTAACTAGCAATAACAAGGATGAGAAGCCCCAAAGCACACACAAAGTAGACCATCTCCGCATTCCTAGTAAGCAAGACGACAGGACAGACAGATACAGAGATACAGAAACAGAAAAGGACGAAGAGAAACATGCAGGGACAGATGGTGAGAGAGAAAGAGAGTGAGAAAGTGAGAGAGAGAGAGTATGTGTTTGTTTGTGTGTGTGTGTGTGTGTGTGTGTGTGTGTGTGTGTGTGTGTGTGTGTGTGTGTGTGTGTGTGTGTGTGTGTGTGTAAGAGAGAGGGAAAGGTGGACAGATATCGAAAGCCCAAGAGACCAAGAGAGACAGCGACTACAAGACAGCCAGACAAACAGACGGATAGGAGAAACAATTACAGATGATTACCATTTGCATGGCAGAGATGTCAAAACCAGCTTGCACAATATCACGAGCTACTCTCCCAAGCAGACCTGCACTCAACAATAATGTCAGACCACAACATAACCATTATAAGCAAGTGTTTGTATTATCAGAGTATGTATTAACCATGGGTTTGTCTTATCAGAGTTTGTACTAAGCAAGGGTATGCATTATCAGAGTATGTACTAACCATGTGTTTGTCTTATCAGAGTTTGTACTAAGCAAGTGTATGTCCTAGCAGACTATGTACCAAACAGGTGTATGTACTAAGCAAGGGTATGTACTAAGCAAGGGTATGTACTAAGCAAGGGTATGTATTAGCAGAGTATGAACTGAGAAAGAGTACGTACTACGCAAATGTTTGTAGTAGTAGAGTATGTACTAGGCAAGTGTATGTAGTAGTAGAGTATGTACTAAGCAAGTGTATGTAGTAGTAGAGTATGTACTAGGCAAGTGTATGTAGTAGTAGAGTATGTACTAGGCAAGTGTATGTAGTAGTAAAGTATGTACTAGGCAAGTGTATGTAGTAGTAGAGTATGTACTAGGCAAGTGTATGTAGTAGTAGGGTATGTACTAGGCAAGTGTATGTAGTAGTAGAGTATGTACTAGGCAAGTGTATGTAGTAGTAGAGTATGTACTAGGCAAGTGTATGTAGTAGTAGAGTATGTACTAAGCAAGTGTATGTAGTAGTAAAGTATGTACTAGGCAAGTGTATGTAGTAGTAGAGTATGTACTAGGCAAGTGTATGTAGTAGTAGGGTATGTACTAGGCAAGTGTATGTAGTAGTAGAGTATGTACTAGGTGAGTTCCACTGTGCTAGGGTGATAGATAAAACAAGTATTAGTTTGCCTGAAGTACTGCAGAATTGGATATTTGCAGTCTTTCTAACCTTGTGTCATTGTGTATGGCTTGACCAAACACAATGTGCAGTTGTCAAGCTCAGCCGGGACTTGAAGGCCACGACTGCTGTTGCTGCCTGCTCCAAAGAAAAACTCCGTCTCCTGCAGTCGAGGTGAAAACAGATAGCATTCCTAGGTACACAGTAAATAGAGAGGTTCTGCACTGTGTTTGTTGTAATGCTGCATCCTTGTAGTGTTGAGCACTCTAGGTAATCTGGGAACTCTCGCTATTGTGTATGCACACTCATGTACATACACACCTGATGTATGCACACTCATGTACATACACACCTGATGTATGCACACTCATGTACATGTACATACACACATGATGTATGCACACTCATGTACATACACACATGATGTATGCACACTCATGTACATGTACATACACACATGATGTATGTACACTCATGTACATACACGTACAGTAAAACCTGTCAAGGCGACCACCTGTCCAAGAAGACCATAACATTACAACCAGGACCCAGGGATGCTATTTCCAGTCAAATGAAACTGGATAAGGAGACCACCTGGTTACAGAGACCACGTTTTCAAGGTCCCTTGAGCGGTCGTCTTAGAAAGGTTTCATTGTACATTGGTGTACACATCACAGTGATGTGCACATACTGAATCGTGTTTTCTACGTCCTGGGCAGAAATCATCATCACTCTATCTCAGTAAGAGTGGTGGGGGAACACTAAGAGAACACTAACTTACTATTTCAGCCGATAAGAGTGATGGGGGAACACTAAGCGAAGACTAACTTACTCTTTCAGCCGATGCCACTGAATCTGATCCATGACAGGCATTGCGCGTTTGATCTTCACAACAGGAAAAAATAATACAAACCTTGAGAATAATATACGGATACAAATGATCTGCCTGGAGGCAATAAACTTAAAAAGAAAATTAAGTTACGAGCAAAATAATTTGCGCGCTCATTATCTCGACACAAATGGCAAGGTGGGTATAATATAGGTTTCCAAGGCGACCGACAGTACAGGCACAGCAGTGGCCAAGCGAAAAAATCAGCTACGGCTTCTCCTTCTCTACGAAGCGAAAGCTACAAACTCGGCGACAAGTAGTTTATTTTTCTGTGACGATCATCAGTTCCAAGTGTGGAACCGATAATCGTAACAAGAAACGTTCTTGGAAACCTATAGTCTTTCTTTGCATTCTGTGTCGGAATAATGAGTGCAGAATTATTTTGTTTCAAAACGCATGGATAGAAAATGTTGAACAGAATACGACACGGGCAGGCATATAGAAATAAATAAGCAGAGAAATAGGAACAAAGAAAATTGAGTAGTGACTGAAAACAACTCACTGCAATAGAATACGGTATGCTGACTGATTTGAAAGTCAACTCCCAATGTTGGCACTTGCCCTTCTCTATAATCACTGCATAGTATTATGTAATCGACTTCAGTTGATTAATTACTACTTAGTGCCAAGGACGAGATAACTTGTCCTACAGACCCCCACGCGATTGGCCAATGACGAGATATCTCATCCTCATATATAGTGCCCACTACTGTATCTCACCGGCCATGCACTACGATCTAGCTTGGCAGATTGTGGCTCTTCGAGGGGAAACTAGGGGTTTTCCCCTACTGAATAAGACCTCACTCGCCGTGTTTGAGTAAGTATGGGTGCGCGAAAAACATGATTCAATTCAGAAACAATTAGATTGACGGAACGTACTTTAGGTCTCTCCAGCTGTCACTCAGACATGGCGAGACGCCGCATGTCGGCTGAAGAGGTGCTCCAGTCCATCGAACTGTGATGACTGGAGCCGCGATAGTGAAGGCGATGACTCGGATGCGGACATAACCGACCGCGATCGTGACGGAACAAATTTCGCAGACGAGTCCGCCGTGGTCGATGTCGTACCTACTGCCGTGGTCGCCTTGGATGACCCTGAGGATATCGGAGATGTCGATGTCGAGCTTGAGCAGGGCGCAGCAGCACAAGCTACGCCAGTGCAGGACAATAAGTCGGTTTGAGTTGATACGACTATTTTGAACAAAATCAGATTTTTCATTAAAATGGCCCGCCCAACCTCGTGCATCTGGCCTGGCAGTGAAAGGGTTAATTACCGCTTCAATGACTTGGAAAGGTTAACCAAGAAAATGCCCCACTGGTCTATCTCTAGCATTCCTAGGTACACAGTAAATAGAGAGGTTCTGCACTTTGTTTGTGGTAATGCTCCATCCTTGTGGTGTTGAGCACTCTAGGTAATCTGGGAACTCTCGCTATTGTGTATGCACACTCATGTACATACACACCTGATGTATGCACACTCATGTACATACACACCTGATGTATGCACACTCATGTACATACACACATGATGTATACACACTCATGTACATACACACATGATGTATACACACTCATGACATACACACCTGATGTATGCACACTCATGTACATACACACATGATGTATGCACACTCATGTACATACACACATGATGTATGCATAGTGTTGTACATACATACATGATGTATGCATAATGTTGTACATACACACATGATGTATGCATAGTGTTGTACATACACACATGATGTATGCATAGTGTTGTACATACACACATGATGTATGCATAGTGTTGTACATACACACATGATGTATGCATAGTGTTGTACATACACACATGATGTATGCATAGTGTTGTACATACACACATGATGTATGCATAGTGTTGTACATACACACATGATGTATGCATAGTGTTGTACATACACACATGATGTATGCATAGTGTTGTACATACACACATGATGTATGCATAGTGTTGTACATACACACATGATGTATGCATAGTGTTGTACATACACACATGATGTATGCATAGTGTTGTACATACACACATGATGTATGCATAGTGTTGTACATACACACATGATGTATGCATAGTGTTGTACATACACACATGATGTATGCATAGTGTTGTACATACACACATGATGTATGCATAGTGTTGTACATACACACATGATGTATGCATAGTGTTGTACATACACACATGATGTATGCATAGTGTTGTACATACACACATGATGTATGCATAGTGTTGTACATACACACATGATGTATGCATAGTGTTGTACATACACACATGATGTATGCATAGTGTTGTACATACACACATGATGTATGCATAGTGTTGTACATACAGCAGTACCGTGAACACACGCATGTACAAACACGTAGAGTAAAACCCGTCAAGGCGACCACCTGTCCAAGAAGACCATTACATTACAACCAGGATCCAGGGATGCTATTTCCAGTCAAATGAAACTGGATAAGGAGACCACCTGGTTACAGAGACCACGTTTTCAAGGTCCCTTGAGCGGTCGTCTTAGAAAGGTTTCACTGTACATTGGTGTAGGCATCACAGTGATGTGCACATACTGAATGGCGTGTTTTCTACGTCCTGTGCAGAAATCATCATCGCTCTATCTCAGTAAGAGTGGTGGGGGAACACTAAGGGAACACTAATTAACTTACTCTTTCAGCCGATGCCACTGAATCTGATCCATGACAGGCATTGCGTGTTTGATCTTCACAACAGGAAAAAATAATACAAACCTTGAGAATAATACACGGATACAAATGATCTGCCTGGAGGCAATAAATTTAAAAAGAAAATTTTAAGTTACGAATAAAATAATTTGCGCGCTCATTATCTCGACACAAAAGGCAAGGTGGGTATAAGTTTCCAAGCCGACCGACAGTACAGGCACAGCAGTGGCCAAGCAAAAAATCAGCTACAGCTTCTCCTTCTCTACAAAGCGAAAACTACAAACTCGGCGACAAGGAGTTTATTTTTCTGTGACGATCATCAGTTCCAAGTGTGGAACCGATAATCTTAACAAGAAACGTTCTTGGAAACCTATAGTCCTTCTTTGCACTCTGTGTCGGAATAATGAGTGCTGAATTTTTTTGTTTCGAAATGCATGGATAGAAAATGTTGAACAGAATACGACACTGGCAGGCATATAGAAATAAATAAGCAAAGAAATAGGAACAAAGAAAATTGAGTAGTGACTGAAAACAACTCACTGCAATAAAATACAGTATGCTGACTGATTTGAAAGTCAACTCCCAATGTTGGCACTTGCCCTTCGCTATGATCTCCCAATGTTGGCACTTGCCCTTCGCTATGATCTCCCAATGTTGTTACTTGCCCTTCGCTATGATCTCCCAATGTTGTCACTTGCCCTTCGCTATGATCACTGCATAGTATTATGCGATCGACTTCAGTTGATTAATTACTGCTTCAATGACTTGCAAAGGTTAACCAACCGTCAAAGAAAATGGTTAATCACAGTCTTTAAAACTAGCTTACCTGTGCCAAACCTTGCTCTGAGACTATCCGGAGCTTGAGACCTGGCATCAGCCGAGTTTGTTGGTCCTGGTCATGAACACAACCACAGGTAAACACATAAAACACACACACACACACACACACACACACACAAACACACAAACACACACACACACACACACAAACACGCACCCACACACACACACACACAAAGTTGGGCACGGTGAAAATCAAACAAGATATGCCCAGAGTATGGCTTTAGTAAGCACCTCCACCGATGTTGCTGGCAATACTCAAAGATTGGATATGACTTTCCCTGTGTTTTTTTTTTAATAGTAGAACTCACCAATAAGTTCTCTCCATCTGCTGACGGCATTGTCGGCTAGTAAGCTGAGCGCCATGATTGGTCCTTCCGTCATGAACGATACCAGAGTTCTGCGCATGCGGGGTGACAACAGTTACACCATCATTACAACAAACACCGTAACCAGCATCAAAAGAACCAGCAGCAGCAGAAAAACCAGCAACAGCAACAGCAGTAGCTGCAGCAGCAGCAGCAACAGAAGCATCAACAGCAGCAGCAGGAGCAGCAGTAACGGCAGGGCAGGAAAACCACGACAGGATTTTAATGCCTAGGGATACAACAGAACATTGCAAGAACAGGAAGAGTAGAAAGTTTCAATTCTACTTCACACATCAGCCTTGGGATTTGTGATATATTTCCTTCCTTCTCTTCCTGGACAAGTGTCGCAAAAACACACATATGGCTATATAGCCAATTGAGAACACAAATTATGCAGTTTTGAAAATGCAGTAGGGAAGAGGTTGTCATAGCCTTTTCTGGATTGCCGAAGATTTGAGAACCCCTCTTAACCCCTTTAATATCCTAACTCTTAGTATAAATAGTCCAAATAGGCATGAGTAAAACATGTGAGAAACGAACTCTGGACTTTGTAATGCCTTCCTGTATTCACATACAAACTGTTACATACCAATACTAGTACACACTGTCTACAACAGAGCCGGGTCAGTCGGGTCAGCGGCCCGGTTGCGGGTACTTGCACCCGGTTGGGGGTACTTTGACCCGGTTGGAGGGTACTTTGACCCGGTTGGAGGGTACTTTGACCCGGTTGGAGGGTACTTTGACCCGGTTGGACCCGGTTGGTGGTATTTGGACCCGGTTGGGGGTATTTGGACCCGTTTAAAAAAAGAGCACTAACCAGGTCACTAGCTGGAAATAGTATACATGTACATACTGGTATGCTACATACACGTATACATCGGAGGTCCTAAAATATTTACTCCTCCCTGATGTACATGCAGCAGGCTAGCCGCACTTGAACGTACCCAGCTCTGACCCGGTTGGACAAGTTGTGGCAGGTCCACGTGCACCCAAGTGATTTGAAATCCTAGAGTAGGCACTGGAGTAGGCACTGAGACACCTAGTGTGAATAAGATCATCACACGCTGAAGTTTGTTCAGCAATAAGCAACACATGGGCGTTTCACTGATAACCTAGAACACAGGATTTCCCTGATCACATTCTTCCCAGTATCATAACACCAACACCTGCCAATGCCAGTGGCGGATCCAGGATCCGAAACAAGGGGGGCACACTACAGGCTCAATGGGACAAGTTTACTTTTACAATGACCTTTGTGATACTCGAACATGTAAATGTATGGGCACTATTGGTATAATATAACAATCAGCAATTGTACCAACCAAACGGAAAAAGACCTGTTTTATGATGTTGCGATCTGCTCCGTGGGGGGACTGGACTCTACGACATTTACAACATCCTCACGAGCGGCACATCCATTAGCAGCTGTCCTAGCTTCCTTCGCAGGTGGCAGCGAATCAAACAAGGTAAGTTGCTTCCTTCTCTTCATTTTCGAACTGCTGTAAAACAACAACGAGGTTCTGGAACGCCAAGGCAAGTGAAGTTTGCAAGGCAAGGGCAGGAAAATCTACGCATTGCCATGCGAAGTTTTGGACTGTGTACTTGCACTTGTACCGTCTTTGTTTTCGTACTACGAGTACAGTGCAGTACTAGACCAAAACCGTAGTTCTGGTGCGCACGGATCGCGGATCGCGGAATACAGATCGACGCGACGAGAGTTGACAGTTCACATGTTCAGTACACGCGTACCGCGTATCGATCTACGGACCCGGTGAACCAGTGCATGAATGTGTACAGTGCATGCAGTACAGCGACTGGGCCTTGTCATCTACACAGGAAGTGCGCGCGAGCTCGGTTTCGATCGAGATCAGTAAAAAAAAAAGTCGGTCGGCGCTTCTGAAGGGGGGGGGGGGGGGCACGTGCCCCCTTCGCCCCCCTCTAAATCCGCCACTGTATGCCACCCCCCCCCCCCCCCACCCCAAGTGTTTGTACAAAAGCCACGTCCCTTGCTGGTCTACAATGACCGTCTGAATGGACGCTACCAGGGGAGTACTAACCTGAAAAATGGTTTAGCACTATGCTCGCGATAAAACTCTTCAGCCGCAGACCTGGACACAACAACGAAAAACAAAAAAATCATTCATGGACACCGACATTCGCATACAAACACACACACAAACACACACACACACACAAACACACATAAACCATACACACTGTTTTTTAGTACATGCAATTGATTAATCCCACAACACCTGTGTACACCTTCACCCTTCTGTAACTTCAACATGGATTGCAGATACACATTAGATGGATAGGGAGGGGGGGGGGGGAGAAAGAGAGTTGGGATGGGGGGGGGGGGACCAGGAATAGTAGGGTGCCCATAAATGTTCCGGGCATACGACAGAGCTAGAAAACCAATGATAGTCCCGAATTCACGGTCATCCCACAACCAACGTGGAAATCCGGTCTAACATCTAGTGGCCTCAGGGCGATGGCCATGCAGCCGTGGATAAGCGGTACACACATACATTTCTGCGTTGCAGCGCGGTGTTCGCATCGGATCAAAATGTGCACTGCATGCACGCAGCGTTCTGTACGCGCTGAGGGCGCCGGCCCCAGTCAATCGACTGCATTTCCATGCCCGCTACAGTAGGAGAAAACATTGGCGACTGCAAAGCTAAACGCATGTTGCTATCCACCACCGGCTGCCCTTTACAGCTGCTGTTGAGCTAGGACAGATTGATAAACTCTCGCATGTTGCATCGCCGGACTGAATCACCTTAGGGGGCAGCAGGTCAAGGCCGGGAGTGGTATAAAAAGTGGCATAGACCATGGTTCATGCCGATTTTTCGGGTGCTATTATGTGTGCCCCCCCCCCACCGCTGCTATGACTCACTGGTGCACACAGTAATTTTATTGCAAAGGTTGGGTTTTGCCTTTTCTCCTGATACTCAGTTTCAGTTACTATGTACGATAACCTAGAGACTGGGAATGTCCAAATCCGTTGATCTCCGACCTGCAGAGAGTGTTCAATAGAGAGGTTAAGATTCACGTTATTTCTGACCTGACGCGCAATTTCACGTCAAATTGCGGGTAACACTCCAAATTTTGACGTGAGCTGCCGGTCACGTTGTTTTTCGACGCGCGAGCCAAATAACGCGAGCTGAACTTTCGCGTCACATCAGAGATAACGCTCACCTTAACCTCTCCAATGTCTGAGACAGAGCTTAGTACCTAGCAGACTCAGCAGAGGACGTTCAGGTTGGTTGTAACTCTGAGTTTCATGCCGCCGCTAGGCAATCATCAGAAAACGGGTAACAACATGGAAGTCCTCTGCTGAGTGTGCTATATGCACTGGGAAGGTTCTGTACTTACTTGCTCAACACCACTGTCTTCATATCACAGATCTGAAATCCTTCAGTGCAGAGAATCTCAAGCAGGAGAGCTGCAGGCAGAAAAACACCACCAAATTCACATTTCACATGAGAACAACAGGTTCAAGTCCTGCTTGGAAGCTGAAGGATTTTTTCCAGCCGTGCTGCGACCCACAGTTAATTGGGAACTCGTGGCCTGGCACGAGGGTAACATGGATGCAGCTAATGGGATTTCGGTCTTTCACCACTTGGTGGTGGGTCTGATCTACTCACCTCCCACCGTTTAGGCGATGCATCTGCGCCTTTGATCCTAGAGGGTGGTGGCGTTCCCACGGCGGATGCGGAAAACTCGGCTTCCAGCCGAGTCTCACGCGAACCGTGAAATTTATTATTTTTTATTTTATGAGAACAAGTCAGACTGATTTTCCGCATTCGTAGAAACACCACCGCCCTGCAAGGATCAAATCGCACAAAACTAAGTCCAGAATCCTAGTGCTAACAAGTGTTATCCTCTAGAGGATAACACTTGTTAGCACTAGGGCAGCATGTTTTCAGCTGAAAACAATTACGTAGGAAACGCGAAGACAAGGAGCACTAGGGCAGCATGTTTTCAGCTGAAAACAATTACGTAGGAAACTTGAAGACAAGGAGCACTAGGGCAGCATGTTTTCAGCTGAAACACAATTACGTAGGAAACTCGAAGACAAGGAGCACTAGGGCAGCATGTTTTCAGCTGAAACACAATTACGTAGGAAACGCGAAGACAAGGAGCACTAGGGCAGCATGTTTTCAGCTGAAAACAATTCCGTAGGAAACGCGAAGACAAGGAGCACTAGGGCAGCATGTTTTCAGCTGAAAACAATTACGTAGGAAACGCGAAGACAAGGAGCACTAGGGCAGCATGTTTTCAGCTGAAAACAATTCCGTAGGAAACGCGAAGACAAGGAGCACTAGGGCAGCATGTTTTCAGCTGAAAACAATTACGTAGGAAACGCGAAGACAAGGAGCACTAGGGCAGCATGTTTTCAGCTGAAAACAATTACGTAGGAAACTTGAAGACAAGGAGCACTAGGGCAGCATGTTTTCAGCTGAAACACAATTACGTAGGAAACTCGAAGACAAGGAGCACTAGGGCAGCATGTTTTCAGCTGAAAACAATTACGTAGGAAACTCGAAGACAAGGAGCACTAGGGCAGCATGTTTTCAGCTGAAAACAATTACGTAGGAAACGAGAAGACAAGGAGCACTAGGGCAGCATGTTTTCAGCTGAAAACAATTACGTAGGAAACTCGAAGACAAGGAGCACTAGGGCAGCATGTTTTCAGCTGAAACACAATTACGTAGGAAACTCGAAGACAAGGAGCACTAGGGCAGCATGTTTTCAGCTGAAAACAATTACGTAGGAAACTCGAAGACAAGGAGCACTAGGGCAGCATGTTTTCAGCTGAAAACAATTACGTAGGAAACGAGAAGACAAGGAGCACTAGGGCAGCATGTTTTCAGCTGAAAACAATTCCGTAGGAAACGCGAAGACAAGGAAGGCTTTTATCTGGAAATATTTATATCAATTTTCCTGCACAGATTCGCTCTGCTGAGATAGAAATTAAAACATTAAAAAAAGTCAGCACTTTGGCCATGAAATCATTTCTACACAAGTCTCAACGGAACAAGATAGGGTCAACTGGAAGCCTCGGTTGGCTCAGATCACTTGAATCACTTCAATCACACAGTGAACACGCCTCTGAGAAAGCTTAGACCGGTCAGAAAGCTTGGATGGCTTAGATCATAGAGCGTTCAGGTCAAACATCACACAGGCTGCCACACAGGCTGCCACACAGGCTGCCACACAGGCTGCCACACAGGCTGCCACACAGGCTGCCACACAGGCTGCCACACAGGCTGCCACACAGGCTGCTGCCACCCAGAAAGCTTGTACACCTTACATGTATATCTCACGTTCAGAAAGGCCGCACGGAGAAAGCTTGTACAACACAGGTCATACACACACACACACACACACGCACTCCCCCCCCCCCCTCCACACACACACATCACTAACGTCACTCAGAAAGCTGCGAGCGAGCGGTCGGATCAGGATGATCCCCACATAAAAAAAATAACAACGGAAATTCACGGTTCGCGTGAGACTCAGCTAGAGGCCGAGTTTTCTGCATCCGCAGGAATGCCACCACCCTTCAAGGATCAAGGCTCATATGCAGCTCCTACAGCGGTGAGATTACTTGGTAATAACTATACACCACATTACACACACGCAATTACAGTCAATCTCAGCAACGACCTCGTGTATAACTCTATGACACAATCTTTGGAGTCTTGTGACGCAAGGAATACTTGAAGTATTGCAACATTCTAGAATACCGAGACCGGGAATAGTATTTGAATGCAGCTAGAAACATTTGAATATTTGAAACATTTGAATATTTTGATGATTCGAAAAGTCGTACAGTATGTAATACAGTAGTGTTGGTCGCCAAAGAACTGGGGGTGAGGGGGGGAGGTGGGGGGGGGGGGTGGGGAGGGGGGGAGGTGGGGGGGGGGGGGGAGGGGTGGGGGGGGAGAGGGGAGGGGAGGTGGGGAGAGGGGGGAGGGGGGAGGGGAGGAGGGGAGGAGGGGGGGGGGAGTAGCCTCCTAGGGTAGTCTCCTAGTCTAGACCGTTTTATAATTTCATGTTCAGTTGAATCACAGTTATACACTGGCATGCTGTGCTTGGTAAAATTATATCTAGTCTGGTCGTTCTTCGGCGCTCCGTTCTTCGGCGCTCCATTCTTCGGCGCTCCATTCTTCAGCGTTCAATTCTTCAGTGCTCCATTCTTCGGTGCTTCGTTCTTCGGCGCTCCATTCTTCAGCGTTCCTTTCTTCGGCGCTCCATTCTTCAGCGTTCCATTCTTCGGCGCTCCATTTTTCAGCGCTCCATTCTTCCGTGGCTGAAAGTACTGTAGGGGTGAAGCACCCTACAGCTTCAGAACTCAAAGGGAAGTGGTGAGCACACATGCTCTTTCCCTGGGGAAACCCCGTGCACTGTTTGTATGGTAGCTGGGGAAACCCCCATGCACTGGTTGTACGGTCCCTGGGGAAACCCCCATGCACTGGTTGTACGGTCCCTGGGGAAACCCCGGTGCACTGTTTGAACGGTGCATGTGCTGTTTGACCGACGGACCGAACTCACTCAAACATCCCACCTACAGAATACAACCATTATGGGAGGTGATGGTGGTAACTGAGTGGGCGTTCGGGTAGGTTAGACAACACGTTGCTTACGCATTTTTTCCATGATGTCCGGCTTGAATATCGCCAGAGTTCTGCAAGAGAATTCAAGCAGGGAATACAACAAAACACAATCAGTTTATTCAGTATCATTCCAGATTTCATTCAATTCTCCTCTGATGGGATGGGACCGACCGGGTGAGAAAACAGATATTTTGGAGAAGACATGCTCACAACTAGAGTACTGTCATACTGGTTGAAGTATGGCTGACTGCTCACTTCTGGGACCGAGGATTTCAAATATATAAATCAGAAAGAACCAGGAGGAGAAGGAGGAGAATGAGAGGGAGAAGGACGTAGGTAGTAGTTGCCAAACATCCCAGAGGAAAGTATTCCGCGAAGAAATTGGTGTCGATGAGACATACACAGTGTAGCATATGCTGGCTATGGCTGATATACTTCAGTACAAAGGCACATGTTTGCTTGTGCACACTGGTGATAGAAGAGAGGTCCACGGCAAGCTGGACAAGCTAGTGTGGATATAATGATTCACAACCAAACAGACGGGGATGGCAGGTGTGATAATTTGGTGATGCTTTGTATTATCAAGGGTAAGCAGCAGTATTTGGCCCTGTGCATATTGGTCAGCACACCACCACACCAGAAATACCCTCTCTAGCCGACCTCGACACGTTGCCACAGCACACCACCACACCAGAACTGCGCTCTCTAGCCGACCTTGACACGTTGCCACAGCACACCACCACACCAGAACTACGCTCTCTAGCCGACCTCGACACAACTTTGCCACAGCACACCACCACACCAGAACTGCGCTCTCTAGCCGACCTCGACACGTTGCCACAGCACACCACCACACCAGAACTGCGCTCTCTAGCCGACCTCACACCACCACACCAGAACTGCGCTCTCTAGCCGACCTCGACACGTTGCCACAGCACACCACCACACCAGAACTGCGCTCTCTAGCCGACCTGGACACATTGCCACAGCACACCACCACACCAGAACTGCACTCTCTAGCCGACCTCGACACGTTGCCACAGCACACCACCACACCAGAACTACGCTCTCTAGCCGACCTCGACACGTTGCCACAGCACACCACCACACCAGAAGTACGCTCTCCAGCCGACCTCGACACGTTGCCACAGCACACCACCACACCAGAACTACGCTCTCTAGCCGACCTCGACAAGTTGCCACAGCATACGATCACACCAGAACTGCGCTCTCTAGCCAATCTGGACACAACGTTGCCACAGCACACCACCACACCAGAACTACGCTCTCGACCTCCACACGTTGCCACAGCACACCACCACACCAGAACTACGCTCTCTAGCCGACCTCGACACATTGCCACAGCACACCATCACACCAGAACTGCGCTCTCTAGGCGACCTCGACACGACATTGCCAAAGCACACCACCACACCAGAAATACGCTCTCTGACCAACCTCGACACGACATTGCCACAGCACACCACCACACCAGAACTATGCTCTCTAGCCGACCTCGACACGACATTGCCACAGCACACCACCACACCAGAACTGCGCTCTCTAGCCGGCCTCGACACGTTGCCACAGCACACCATCACACCAGAAAAGCGACACATCCTTTGGTACTCTGTTCTTTCATACACACAATGCTGTTTCGAGTATAAAACTATCTTCAGTGACTGTAGATAATGTAGAATGAATAAGATAGTGAAAATCACCGTTTTGTACCGAAGCGGTAAGCATAATGCGCACGCCTGAGACACAAAGAATAGGGGTGTGTTTGGTTGGTACGATCTAGAACAGGATGGAATAGCTGGTGCCCATGGAGCAGCTTCATGCCAACCAAACGGTACTCCAGAAACAGAGCACATTTTTGTGAAAAATATGCCAAACTTGGTGCATTATTCAAAATGTGTATGGGTCACCATGGTCACTTTGTACGGTACGACGAGCCCAACCCAAGCGGGCATGCATGTGATCATTCGGGACCAAAATTGATGTTCGGAACGCGCCCAAGGCTAAGCAAAATGACCAAATTCCAAACAGTGTTAAAAACTAAACTGGGGACAATGTACAGACGTGATGATATGAGTTGATAGTGCTAATAGTCAGGTGTGAATTTCATACACACCACTACACATAGCAAGTAGCAACTTGAGAAGCCCCCGAGGCATGCACTGTGTCCACTCGCGCACCACACCGCACCTCACCATCGTCTCATCACATCCTGTGACAGGCATTCTTCAGTTTCCATGACACTGCCGTAGCTTATCAATAAAGCGGCAGTGTTGAAAACACACACGTTCACAGAATATCGCTCCACGGGCCATGGGCTCGTCTATCGAAAATTTACACCCGGCTGGTAGCACCATCAACTCATATTATCACGTCTGTACATTATCCGCTTTGTTTTCAGTGTTTCGCATTTGGTCATTTTGCTTGGCCCTATTCTTCCTCAGGCGTGCACATTAAGCTTACCCCTTTGGTACTGACAAGGGTAATTTTCACCATCTTAGCCATTCTGCAATATCTACGGTCACTGACGAGAGTTTTATACTGAAAATAGGCGCAGGGTGTACCCAGTGTGCTGACAGTGCTCAACATGGCGGAGGCAGAGCGTAATACAGACTTGTTGTTCTGTTCTGTACTGAAAATAGCAGTACCAAGGAACCGGGTACCAATGCCATGGATGTGTCGCTTGCTGATGGTAAGCTGTGGCAATGTGTCGAGGTCGGCTGCAGAGCGCAGTTGTGGTGTGGTGGTTGACGAAAGATATGCTTCGTCTTACTTAAAAATACCAATAAATGGGATAAATTCTACCGTCATTACCACAAATCAACGAAGTCAACATCGATTTTGGAAAACCTTCATGACTTCGTTGATGAGTTGTGATCACGGCAGAATTTATCCCATTTGTATTGCTGCTCTGAAGTTATTGCATCAACATCGTTGATTCGTCTTACTTTTCTTTCGCCATGGAGAGTTTAGTCTTGGTGAAAGTGTCAGAGTACTCTACAAACTTCAGCTAGGTACCACGGTTGACAGCCATCGGCAAGGATCCCATGGAAGAAAACACACACAAACACACACCAAAGGAGACGCATACACAAACACACACACATACACACACACACACACACACACACACCGAAGGAGACGCATACACACACACACACACACATGCACCCACACACACGCACGCACACACACACACACACACACACACACAAACACACACACACACACACACGCACACACACACATACACACACTCACAAACACACACACATATTCACCCAACCACACAAACAATGAAGAGGACACACAGACAGATAGACAGACAATAAGTTACGTGCACAAAACCAACACAAATTGAAATTCCCTGTGGTAGAAAGGAGATGACAACATCAATGTGCTCCGTACTGTATAAAATACAAAATTTCATTTAGAAAATCTTTCCTTACATCACTCCATCAGCAGGTTCGTTACGTACCGAATTTCGTTTTTGGTCGAGGTTTGTCACCCCGAACGTACAGAATTTTGTTAGTAGAAACTTTAGTTATTTTCAGATCCCCTGACGAATATAGCGAAAGTTAATTCCAAACAAAAATTAGTACTTTAATATACAGTATACATGACCACTGACTGTACTCTGTATACATGACCACTGACTGTACTCTGTATACATGACCACTGACTGTACTCTGTATACATGACCACTGACTGCACTCTGTATACATGACCACTGACTGTACTCTGTATACATGACCACTGACTGTACTCTGTATACATGACCACTGACTGTACTCTGTATACATGACCACTGACTGTACTCTGTATACATGACCACTGACTGTACTCTGTATACATGACCACTGACTGTACTCTGTATACATGACCACTGACTGCACTCTGTATACATGACCACTGACTGTACTCTGTATACATGACCACTGACTGTACTCTGTATACATGACCACTGACTGTACTCTGTATACATGACCACTGACTGTACTCTGTATACATGACCACTGACTGTACTCTGTATACATGACCACTGACTGTACTCTGTATACATGACCACTGACTGTACTCTGTATACATGACCACTGACTGTACTCTGTATACATGACCACTGACTGCACTCTGTATACATGACCACTGACTGTACTCTGTATACATGACCACTGACTGTACTCTGTATACATGACCACTGACTGCACTCTGTATACATGACCACTGACTGTGCAGTACGTACTTGTCGACCATGTAGATTAACTGATGAACCAATGTAGCAGTGATCCAGCCTGATAGACTCCTCCTTGGTACATTTCAGGAATATGCGCTTGTTTTTCACATCAATCTACAATGTTTGCACAAGGCGATAGACAGAAACACACAACAGCAGACAGACAGGCAGAAAGCCAGACAGACAGCCAGACAGACAGAGAGATAGGTAGAAAGACAGGCAGGCAGATAGAGAGATAGGCAGAAAAACAGACAGACAGACAGACAGAGAGATAGGCAGAAAAACAGACAGACAGAGAAATAGGCAGAAAAACAGACAGACAGAGAGATGGGCAGAAAGACAGGCAGGCAGGCGAAAAGACAGGCAGGCAAAAAGACAGGCAGGCAGGCAGGTAGATAGACAAAGTATGGCTCAAATGCACACACACACACACACACACACACACACACACACCTCAGACCTCAGACATGCCCATCGCGGAAGCGATGATAGCGAACAGCTATGTTAGACATAGCAACTTGTGCTGGGATTACACCATTCAATAGCTTGCAAGGCTGACACACACACACACACACACACACACACACACACACACACACACACACACACACACACATACCATAATGTATACGCCCGTCGCAAGAGAAGCAAGCAAATCTGCAAATGCACTGGATGTGCACCCACAGATTTTCTCTTATAGCAACGATAGCGAACAAGATCTGAATGAGACAGATCAAGACATGCGCCAGATAACTGTCTAATCCACACAACTGGCGAAGCCATGTGAATCGACCACCAGTGCACACCTGGTCTACACCACACGGAGTACATCGGCATAAAACGGCCAAGACAGTTAGTTGCCTATGCACACCCTACACTTGCTGGGGTAACCATGGTAACCAGTATAGACAGCACGCTGCTTTGATAGAAGCAGACACTATATGCACTGGTACCTTGAAGTGAAATTGGAGTACAGTCAACTTCGCCAATAACGACTACGGATATAACGACAATTCGCAAATAACGACAGAATTTCCATGCCCAGAGCAAAGTCCCATCCCACTGTAATACATAAAATGAGACTTCGGGTATAACGACACTTCGCGAATAAGGACACCTTTTTGATGCCCCGCCGAGTGTCGTTATAAGCGAAGTTGACTGTACACACAGAGACACACACAAACGCACACAAAGGCCGAAACCAGGATATGATGCGATCCGGAGTTTCATGCTTTGTAGGCAACCGTCTTACAGCAAACCGAATCAAACTAATATTGTCCCGGACGAAAATATAATAATAATGAATGCTGTATATGGGATACATAACACGGGGATGAGAGTGGTGATGGGTATTACTACGGCTGTGTTCTGTGTGTAAGGGTGGGGGGATGAGAGTGGTGATGGGTATTACTAAGGCTGTGTTGTGTGTGTAAGGGTGGGGGGATGAGAGTGGTGATGGGTATTACTAAGGCTGTGTTCTGTGTGTAAGGGTGGGGGGGGGGGGGGGGGATGAGAGTGGTGATGGGTATTACTAAGGCTGTGTTCTGTGTGTAAGGGTGGGGGGATGAGAGTGGTGATGGGTATTACTAAGGCTGTGTTCTGTGTGTAAGGGTGGGGGGATGAGAGTGGTCATGGGTATTACTAAGGCTGTGTTCTGTGTGTAAGGGTGGGGGGGGGGGGATGAGAGTGGTGATGGGTATTACTAAGGCTGTGTTCTGTGTGTGAGGGTGGGGGGATGAGAGTGATGATGGGTATTACCAAGAGTAGATAAACAAGAGTGTGCAACTCCGGATCTCTCCTGCACAATCTGCAGATACCCCCGCCCACGGCGGAATTTTTTGTTGACATCACCTTTTTTCAGAGAAACGCCGACGTTGCCGCAGAGCAGTGTGAGAGCACGTGCTGGGCACCGACCTTGTAGTGTAAAACCCGGCCAAGTGCACGAGGGAAACCTCTCCAAAAGGCTCGCAGCGCGTGCGTCGTCGAAAAGATTACGTCAACAAAAAATTCCGCCGTGGGCATACCAATCCGCGAGTTGCACACTCTTGTTTATCTACTCTTGGTATTACTAAGACTGTGTTCTGTGTGTAAGGGTGGGGGGATTTGAGTGGTGATGGGTATTACTAAGGCTGTGTTCTGTGTGTAAGGGTGGGGGGATGAGAGTGGTGATGGGTATTACTAAGGCTGTGTTCTGTGTGTAAGGGTGGGGGGATGAGAGTGGTGATGGGTATTACTAAGGCTGTGTTCTGTGTGTAAGGGTGGGGGGATGAGAGTGGTGATGGGTATTACTAAGGCTGTGTTCTGTGTGTAAGGGTGGGGGGATGAGAGTGGTGATGGCTATGACTAAGGCTGTGTTCTGGGTGTAACGGGCAAAGGACCTGTACGTTACTAGTTATGGTCCATTCTATTACTAGTGGCTCGACACCCAGGTTTTTGTTGTGGGCATGTGTTTGTGTTGATGTGTTTTGTGTGTGTGTATGTGTGTGTGTGTGTGTGTGTGTGTGTGTGTGTGTGTGTGTGTGTGTGTGTGTGTGTGTGTGTGTGTGTGTGTGTGTGTGCAAGCGCGCGTGGGGGCGTGCTCGGGAGTGTATGTCATGCGCGGGTTGGTGTTAGATCCATGCTCACTTGTATGGATATAGTACATTCTGAGCATGTCTGGGTTCGAGGAAACATGATGCTCTTCAATGGTATGCTCAAGAACATTACCGTGCTATTAAAACATAGGACAAGACAGCAGGCATTTGTATAACCAAGAGCCACAGAGTACCGAGGTTGTGTACACTGGGTTGTACCACCAATATTACGACATGGGACAAGACAGCATGCATTTGTATAACCAAGGGTCACAGAGTATCGAGGTTATGTACATGTACACTCGATTGTGCCACCAAGTGAGCAACTCACCATTTCCACGCTGTTATCTTTAGGATAGAAGAGGAAGTTGTAGCGTCGCACTATGCCCGCTAGCGAATCATACCACTCCACGAGGAAAGCGTAGCGTTCACCTTCCATATTACACGGTGAACTGCTGACGACTGGAACAAATCGCCGGCAAGAATGTGCAATGGTCTGGTGTGGAGTGTAACTACTCACGATACACAGTGACACAGCTACGTTCCAAGCTCTGAGTAGCAGATAGTAGGAATTACAGCAGCAGCGCTAGTAGCAGCAGCCGCAGCAGGTGCTGCCTGGTAGATTGGGAAGCAATCACTACCCGGTACCCGTCCTCCAATCTACTCCACACACGTGACCACACCCGAAGACGACCTGCAGTACAGACCAGTAGTCAGTAGTCGACTGCAAACTATCCACTCATGGGTTTTCCGTTACTGGCGTTAGCTTGAAAACTACAACAAACAGCCCAAGGACTGCCACACTCGAACCTGGCCTGAGCGCAAGGATTGCCACACTGGAACCTGGCCTGAGCGCAAGGATTGCCACACTGGAACCTGGCCTGAGCGCAAGGATTGCCACACTGGAACCTGGCCTGAGCGCAAGGATTGCCACAGTCGAACCTGGCCTGAGCGCAAGGATTGCCACACTGGAACCTGGCCTGAGCGATATGAACACCATGTACCACTGAGTGTTCTATAGAAACTCTGAATATTCCCGGAGCAAATGTCTCAATGATTAGGACACCGAGGCAACTAATACTTGTTCTCTTCACCGTCTTTCAAACATTCGATTATGACCATGGCACGGGCATGATTGCTGTAGTTCTGTCACCAAGCAGATTCAAAAATGTTTGGCCTCAACGCACCACTCCACGAGTAGACTACATCATACATGACCGCTGGGCGCTGGCTAGTCTAGCCTACTACTATGACTACTACTAGTAGTACTAGTACTAGTACTGCCTAGTCTACACAGACCACAGTATCAGTGGTATCAGGAGTCTACAGCATCGCGTGCACCCGAGCGCCGAGTTGTACGTTACTTACTTAGTAATAGTGGCGCATGGCGATGTGTCTGTCACTAGTGGCACTGTCAAGCGGTCACACCATGCACTCACATCAACTAACGGGTTACGTACTTACTTGATCAGTTGGTCCCCATGGTCACACCGAAACATGCACATGTGTACACTACAAGTACAAGTCATGCACAAGCGAACACACAACACTAGTACAGTAGTAGTACTACTAAGTACTAGTACTAGTAAGTAGTAGTAGTCAACACACAACAAACACACACGTTTCCAATGGTAACTGTTCACAAGCAGCGGTGAGCGATTTCGCTTGTACTACCGCCGGTATACCTGGTATACCTGGTATAGTGCAGTACTACTACAAGTACAAATGTAATACAATGTAGTACAGTCAAATCTGCCGTTAGCGACCTCTGCTGTAGGCGACCATCTACCGTTAGCGACCGATTTTCCGTGCACCGACGGTTTCACATACAAACTGATCTGTCCAGAGCGACCATCTGCTGTGCGCGACCAGCGACCGCGATTTCATGCACGGTGGCTGCATTCGAATCTGCTGTAAGCGACCGCGACCCAGGTTCAGTACAGTAAGATCGGGCGCCGAAGAACGCAGGGGCTCGAGCGCAGCCTAGGAAAGTTCTTAAATTTTTGATTCTAGCCAGTACGTTCTTCACATGTGCACACGCGCGGCGAGTCGAGTGACGTCATGACGTTTGTCATGTACATGTACATGTACATGTAGTGCAATGTAGTACTTCTAAACTAGTGGGTGTCGTAAATGGGAATGACTGTACATGTAGCAGTTACTGTTTACACGTGTACATGACATGTACTCACCTCCCATACATGTACAATGTAGATCTACGTGTAAATTCGCAACTGTGTTCTTAAATCTGATAATTCTAGCCTGGACTGTTCTTAAATTTTGCCGGTTTTCCAGCCTGGGTGTTCTTCGGCGAGGTGTTCTTCGGCGCCCGATCTTACTGTAAGGTGCGAAACTGTACTTGCCAGTGTGCTGTCAACTGCAAAGTGTGAAAATGCGCTGTCTTGCAAGTGCGATCGACTGGCGCCTGGCCTGTACTGAGGCTGTGCTGTAGCTCTCAGTCTCAAGTCCAGGCAGTGTCGATCTACTGCCGTGTCGCATACGCGTACTATACGGGTATGGTCGTCGTTGAATATCCAATAAAATAATGTGATTTTTAATATTATTAAAATCACATTATTCTCGTCGATTTGAGTACATGGAAGCATATACCTGGTATGCCGGATTTACCATACATCTGCCGTAAGAGACCATCTGCCGTAAGCGACCGCTTTTTCTTGCACCAAGGGGCGGTCGCTTACGACAGATTTGACTGTAGTAATACTAGTACTACACTAGTCTACACTACATGTATACAGTAGACTCGTACGCCCAAGAACGTGGCGCCCAAGAACGTCCAGGCTGGAAATCTAAGAACGCCCCAGCCTGGACTTAGAACGAACTCCAAGATTTTTAAGAACGCGACATTTTCTTGTCCGAGTACACGAAAAACAAGTCCTGTAGTGTGTGTACTGTAGTAGACAAAGAACAGACTGGATGGAACTGGATCCACTGCCCGTCCTCAAGTGCTTTTACCATGTTTACGACCCCTGGCCTGGTCTGCACCAGGGAGTCGTACACCGGGGTAACCCGGGTATATACGGCTCACTGGTCTGCACCGATATTGTGCTGCTGCTAGCAATGGTGCGTTCAGTTTCCCGGTTCAGATGCCTGGTCTGATGTCTGGTCCACGCCAGACAGATTTTTCGGCCGCGTGGGAAATCCTCAACGGCTCAAGATCGGGGCGATAATAATTGCCTGCATGCAATACTGTGGACTGTGTTGGAGTGCAAGTTTTCGACAAATCTGGGGCGAGTTTCTTGTACGAATGGTCAGCCAAGTACAAGTATCGACTGGTGGATATTTGGCAGAAAAGTCGGCTAATTATTTTTAGTGCTTGCACGTGGTTGAGAGGGCCTCCAACCGCTTTTCACCATGACAGACTGTGAACTTGCTGCACTGGGTGGCTAGCCTGTTCACGCCTTTGGCCATGGCTGTAGCTCGTGTTTAGGCCGTGGTCTCACCACTCTTTATTTTGGAGGATGACCCCTGTGACCCCTGTGCCCACTTGGGCCCCGTCGTGGATGGAAGGAGAAGTAGGGATCTGGAAAAGAGCTAGAAAGAGAGAGGAGTAGAGAGAGAGAAGAGCGATTTATCACAGTGGATTGAGAATGGATTCGGAAACGAAGAGCCGCATCGCTATCTGTGTTTTATTATGTACAATGGTGATGATTTAAGGTGGCAGTTCCCCTTTTCCGTATACTACACTCTTTGGACCAGAAGTCATGAACAGCTAGGAATATCCAAACCAAACTTGGCAGTGATGTTGAGGGTGTTCATACCTAGGTTCAGAATCATTTTTCACACATCTCACATATCTTGAAGTGCCGAACTTGCTCTCAGCCAAAATGCGTTCATATCGCACGTACAGGGCAAGGATTGAGCCAAAAAAGAACAGAGGCTAATGGTGCCCAGCAGTGTCAATTTATTTGCTCAGAACTCATGCAGACTAACAGCTCAAGGTGCTAGACTACACTAAACCTTGTAAACGTATGTAGAGTGGAGCATTGTGATTTTCAGTTTTACAGATCAGAAACGCGATGTTTACAGATAATTCAGAGACATGCCAGTTGGAAGAACCTCGCTGGGATATTGACAGTTCTGTTTAGTTTAGCACCTAGCAAATTTCACGTAGATGTGAATAATGCCCAAGATTATGATTCGATGACAAGTAAGCCCTGAGATATGTTGGCTCGAACTTGTCGGAGTCTATGAAAAAGAGGGTCAAATTCATGAAAAAGTACACTCCAGTTTCACCTTTCAAAAGCCACCAGCAGCATATGTTTCTTCTTCCTTGTGCTGTGCCTGATCCAGAAACCCTTTCTTCACTGCTCTGAAATGCTTACTTGCCTTTTGCTCCTCTTCTGACGACTTTCTACGCTTGTGGTACAGCTTTCCTCTTGAAAGACACCTAGATTTCTCTCCAACGACGGACTAACAGTGCATCCCATACGCTGTACTACTTCGGCAAGCTCACTGTGGACTTCATTGAACACGATCACTGCCAGGAACACAGCAGTCTCAACAGTTATGGAGCTACAGAACGATTCCTTTGGACAGAGATGTCAAATAGTGCCATTGAGTGCTTCATTGGCATTCTGTGTGGCACGACGAACACTGCCCTGTAGGAGGGATTTGTCGGCAAGATGGACATATACAGGTTTAATTTCTTCAAAGACTGCAACAGGGATAGTGTTGTTCGACGATGAAGAAACTGCCACAGAAACATTGCCATATCCACACTTCTATTGCTGCCACCTGCACCATGAGTCCTTCCGGGCAGAACTGATTGCATTTCTCGGCATCCTTGGACTGTATGTTGTGGCAAACAGATGCCCAAATAACACGGGCCATCGCTGTGACGAAGCCTGCAATCTTGCAGATAGAATTTCCAAAATAGTTCCGCAGGGAGTCTCCTTCCTTGTGCAGAAAGTACAATAGCGGGTCAACACTTCCACGTCCACAAATTTTTGCGTCTCCCAAGCAATCACAGTCTGCATGCCATATAAGGAGCTGTATCCTCGTCGCATCCATGTTCCGTTGTCACGGCGATTTCGGCTGGCGATTCCTCCCCGGCTGCAACTTGTTGTGTGAACACAACTTCAGCAGCATTTTTCATGCTCAAATTTGCACTAGCTTTAGCAGCTTGGTGAAGATTCTTCACGAGGCGCTGGTAGTTCTTCTTTCAACCGGCGCTGGCAAATCGAGGAATGCACACGATTTCCGGAAATCCTCGTGGCCTCGTTCAAGCAGGCGCATAGCCAGTACGCTCTTTCTATTCAATTCAAAATAACTGGATATCTTTCCCACTGCGGGCGGTGAAGCAACAGAAGTGCAGTAGTTGCATGCAACTTCAATTATGGAGACTAGGCCAGCTCTTACATTTTCTGCAAACTGCTATTATTGTGGACAATAAATTCTGCAATTTAATTTAATTTCTGCAAACTAAAATTCCAGTTGTCAGAATCCAGGACTTCATCACTCTCCTCACTCGAGTCTTCATTGGAGTCACCAGCGCTCTCAGTATCCTCATCTGCAAGTAAGTTCAGATCGCCAGCCAATGGTTCGCAGCTACGAGACGTGTCAGGTACTCCCAATTGCTCAGAGTCACTTTCAGTTTGAGCACGAGATGCAGACTCGTTTTCTTTCTCCAGATCTCTGCGCTTGGAGCTCTGGAACTGGTTCCCGTAGAAAACACGCTTCTTGGCTCTGAAGTTAGCGGACTATCTCCTCTTATTGCCAATGACCAAAAGACAACAGCTACAGAGAACAGCGGACACGCCAATTATTTCCAACTTTTTCTGTACACGTGCTTCCTTTGACGCGGATTTGCATTTTTTTGTTCGTGCTGACACCGTGCAGTGCTGACCTGTACTGTGACTGCAGAGCTAGCTGAGTCGGTAGCTACGGGGTAGCTACGGCCACGGGGTACAACTACAGCCAACACGGCACACACACACAAAGAGCTGGCGCTCTTGGCACCCTCCGCGATCCACGCAGTGAACCGGAACGAAGATTGATCGCGCTTGCGAACTGCATTCAAAGTGGAGATCAGCTGATTTTTTTACAAATTCGCAGTGGGAGTTGGTTTGAATTTTTAAAATTTCCCAACCGTCGTGTTGTTCACCGCATAAAAAATTACACTAGCGGAAAGTTCATCACTTCAGGAGGAAAATGAGCCGGATATGGCTTCATTCTGACAACTTTCTTTTTTTGCTCCTTTTTTGGACCCAAAAGGGGATCTGCCACCTTAAACAATCGACGAGGAGACAATAGTCATAAAATGGCAATAAATTAGATAAATTGTGCACTCATAACAACAGCAAAAAATGAAGAAAGTCAAGTTCCATAACGTTTTCTTGTGACTGTCATCAGTGGAACGCCGTCACATAACAATGTAATAACTAAAACACACACTTATATACACAATCCCCACTTATATACATGTAGCTAATATGGTTTCAGGTAGAAATACAGCAGCCAGCAAGTACAAAAAGCGAAGTTTGCAACTTTGCAAAGAAAACGTTTAATCACTCACACTCTTCAAGTAATACACACGCACCATTACATTCATTCACACAGTATCACATTCATCTGCCACTACCTTTCTCACATACACTATATTCACACATTTGCAAAGGTGCAAACTTCGCTTTTTGTACTTGCTGGCTGCTGTATTTCTACCTGAAACCATATTAGCTACATGTAATTATATAAGTGTGTGTTTTAGTTATTGAAATAATCGACGCGGAGACAACAATTTTATAATAGCTATAAAGAGAACAAATTCTGCTGTCATCGCCACACTACAACAAAGTCATGAAGGTTTACCAAAATCGATTTTCTTGTCACAATCATCAGTGGAAAGCCGTGACTGAAGAATAACCATGCCAAATCAATAATTTATATACATTCAATAATGTGTTACGAGAACAAAACAAAGTGCTAAAAATAGAATGAGGGAAGGTGAGACAATAGAAGTAAAGTGAGAGCTAAGTGCAACAGGGGTGAGGAACTAATTGCAACGCTAGAACTGTGTAGTGAGACAAACAATAATGCTGTGCACCTACGAAAACAATCTTAACGCAACTACATGTTTCTTCTGCTTACAAAGATCAGGCTTATGCAAACGAATACAAACAGCGTCAAGTACTTTCAACTGACTAGCGTACCGTGCACGACAAAGAACAGAAAAACTAAAATCATCATACACCTGCAGACACTTAGGGTGAGACAACAGATAAAGAAAAACGGCAGACTTCTTACGATCACAATCACCATCCGATTCCTCGTCTCCACCAACCGCAACCTCGTCCCCCGTCTCATCTTCCAACTCGTCCTCAGTGTCGTCTTCCGTGTCATTCTCCTCATCACCACCGATCGGTCCCAGGCTCGCTTCACGTTGCTGAACCTCTGTTCGTTCGATTTTGGTAAACCTTCATGGCTTTGTTGTAGTGTGGCGATGACAGCAGAATTTGTTCTCTTTATAGCTATTATAAAGTTTTAGTTATTACATTTTTATGTGACGGCGTTCCACTGATGACAGTCACAAGAAAACGTTATGGAACTTGACTTTCTTCATTTTTGCTGTTATGAGTGCACAATTTATATTTTTTAATGGTGATGATCCGAATAATTTCCCCTGAGAATCACCTCACTTTGCCGATGGTGACAAATACCAGGCTTTGTCGCCGGAGGAAGCGAGACGTTTACGACTTTGTTGATGAAGACGATACTGAGGAGGATCTGCTGGCAATCTTGCCCTTGACAATGTTTGGCAGGAGAAAACGGCGTTTTTGGTGCGCCCTTCGCAGTCCCGGTGCCTGGAACGATGACGTTATCCAGCACTGGGCCACCATGGGCACATGTATTGAGTGGGATGTCTCTGACTGGGAGAACGAGCAGTATCGCCCCCGGCACCGGCTTCATTCGCAGCAAACTTTTGCGAAGATCCAGGCTCGTTTGCTCGTATCCTTTTTCATTGTCGTCTGATATCGCGTTTTTGCTTCGTACCGCAGCTCGAGCAATGGCGCTCCATTACCATGCTCCAACTATCCATGGCTGACAACGAAAACCTTTAAAAAAACACTTCACACAACTACAATACAAGAGAAGAAGAAACTACCTGACTACAACAAACGTCAACTCAAGTTCTTCAACTCCTCTTGCACTCTTGCACTTCAGCCAAAATTATTCCGCCACTTTCAGCTTTTCAGCGCTTCCAAAACTTGGCAAAAGGGCTGAAAGTTGAAAGTGGCTGGTGCCCCGATTTTAGGCCGATTCCACACTACGCCGAAAGTGGCTTTGCCTTGAAGGCATAAAGTGGCTTATAAAGTGAAGCTGCATTCACACCTACAAGTGTCGATCACGGGACTTTGCTTTGAAGGTTAGACTGTGAGGCTTTCCTGTGCTTGATCTAGCAACGGCGGTAGTGGAGAGGCTCTTTGTTGGGCCAAATCCTCGAATATCACCCATTTTCGCGTGCCCAATCTTGAAATTTGACCACGCTAGCGCGCGCTGTGTAGGCGGATTCCAGATCATAGGTCGAATATTTGTCAACCTCGCCAACAGACATTCCGGTGGCAGTTTTCGTTGTGTATGTCTCGTACAGTCCTTTCGCCTTCGTTTTCATGTTGTCGATTTTGGAATGGACGATCGACGCAGTATATTGCCTCCTCCCGGAGCTGTTCAGCAAACAAATTCAGCTTGATGGCGATCTCCTCCGGCGTAGCTCCTGCGAACTGTACCGGCCGGAGGTCGCCTCAAATATCCGCTCCAAAGCTCGATCAGCTTGCCCTCAAGCTCCTGGCTAAACATGACCCTAGGCATTGTTGACAGCTCACAACTCACCACAACTGAAACACATACATGTACGACAGGGAACACATTCGGAAAAAAATCGAAAGGCTGAAGAAAAGTCAGAAAAGTGTCCTGAAAAGGTAAAAAGTTGCCTTGAAAGAGGGTGCTGGTGTTGCTTTGTAGACAACAAGCACTTTTCACTTTCGCGCGTTTCTCAAAGTGATCGCCATGGCAACTTGCCTGAAAAGTGCCTGAAAAATGGCTTTTTAGGCAGGATTTGGTGTAGTGTGGAATCGGCCTTAAGCCGTTTCCGTGGAAACCTCAGCCAAAAAAAGCGCTTTTTTGGCTGAAAGGCTGAATCGGGCTCGGTGTGACCGCGGCCTTATAAGCTATAGCTTAGAGCTCAGCTGTCTCATTTCCGCTGTCTACAACGCGACTTGCATGGCAAAGGCGAAGGGGAGTCGAACCACCGCTGTTGGTGACGGCCTGACGGCAAGGCAGTGATAGTATACTTTGACTTAGTTCAGTGATGGCAAATTCACGTAAAGCCGTGAGATCCGTAGATCCATTATTTCATGTGTAGATCTACACGACTACAGACAGTATTAGTAGTGGGATCTACACGACTCCCTGATCATGACATGAGTGATCTACACAGTCACTACATGTAGAGATCTGCAATAACAGGATCACTAAACCATGGTCCATGGAAAACAAAGTCAATATGAATGAGTCATAATTATTTATCTGTCTGTCGTCGGGTATACCGGTAGTACTTCAGCAACCGCGTTGACCAGGCCGGGGAGTCGTAAAATCCCTTTACGATTCCCTGGTGTTGACCTAGATCTACTAGTACTACTACTAGGTGTCGCACTTCACGATCGTCCTTCGTCCATTACTTTGTTTTCGTCTCTTTCAAGTCTTTGTCCCTGGTCGCTTACAATTATTCTATAGTGAGTGGTCGGCGGTACGCGAGTTGCTGGAATGGCCGCTGAGGAGAATGCGGTGTTCACCGCTTTGGGCTTGAACCAGGCTGAAGTGCCCTATCTGGGTACATTGGACGTGAATGAAACAGAGGATGAGTTGGGTCGAGGCTCATTTGCTGTGGTGTACAAGTCCAAATGGTGTGGATTGAAGGTGGCCGCAAAGGCACTTCATTCTATCCTGATTGATCGAAGAAACCAAGGACGCGACGTCGTACTGCATGATTTTGGAGCAGAGATTGCACGCATGGCACGTCTTCGCCACCCACATCTGTGTCCCATTTTCGGCGTGGGCATGGTCGGAACAACTCCAGCCATTGTGGTGGAATTGATGTCCGACACACTGGAAACAATGAGCGTTGGTGCACGCAGACAGGACTTGCTTCAGCTGATGCGCTACATCGAACACACTGCTGCAGGTCTTCGCTACTTGCACTCCATCCCGATGGTGCATCGCGACTTGAAGCCAAGCAATGTCCTCGTTGCCAATAGTGTGGCCAAAATCACGGATTTCGGCGTCTCCAAGCTACTGCCTAGCGTTGCCGATCAGTTCCGTGAAGCCGCTCAGTCCATGACCCGACAGCCTGGTACACCGTTATTCATGCCGCCAGAGGCGTTGCAAGAGACGGAATCTGGCCGAGCAAGGTACGATCTTTCGCTTGACGTCTTTTCGTTCGGAGTGACGGCAATGAGCGTGCTGAGCGGTGTGATGCCCTCCATTGAGCTCATGTTCGCACCAAGATCGCGCCAGGCAGCTGACGGCAGCCACGTCGCTATACCCGAGCTGGAGCGGCGACGCGCGGAGTTTGCTCGCATCCCTGACGGCCACCCGCTGAAGGACCTGCTGAGACGCTGTCTTGCTGACCCACCGGCCCGTCGACCAGATGCAGAGGAGATTCACGAATTCGTCCAGGGTGTTGTTCAGTTCGTGTCCTCATTGCCGCAGGTACGTGTGTGTTGAATTGTTAGAACTACAGTGTAGGTTAAAAGAGGATAAATACGAAATGACGTCAATGTAAATTGTTGTATTGTCGTGGCACGAGTCCCCAAGAATTATTAGAGCTTCATAGCATTCAACTTCCTTTGCCTTGCCACCTGGACCTCGTCATTTTCCTGTGTTGGAACTTCTCGATATCCGAGGGAGGAGGGGGGGGGGGATGGGGTTGTGAGTAAATCTAGAGTTTCCCCCGGTCGTTGGTTCCAACATTATCTTGAAGCCTGCAGTCCACGAACGTTGAGACGGCCATGTACATGTACTCACATGTCTTCTGTAAAATTCCCTAGGCGTGCGCTACACACTACGTGTGCGCTGCAGACTACGCGTGCGCAACACACTACGTGTGCGCTGCTTACTACGCGTGCGCTGCACTCTACGCGTGCGCTGCACTCTACGCGTGCGCTGCACACTACTAGTGCGCTGCACTCTACACATGCCCTGCACTCTGCGTGGAGCTGCACACTACGAGTGCGCTGCACTCCACGCGCGCGCGCGCGCTGCACACTACGAGTGCGCTGCACTCCACGTGTGCGCTGCACTCCACGCGTGCGCTGCACACTACGAGTGCGCTGCACTCTACGCGTGCGCTGCGCACTATGAGTGCGCTGCACTCTACGCGTGCGCTGCACTCTACGCGTGCGCTGCACTCTACGCGCACTCTACGCACTCTACGAGTGTGCTGTACACTGCTAGAGCGCCGCACTCTAAGCGTGCGCTGCACACTACACATGAGCTGCACACTACGCGTGCGCTGCACACTACGAGTGCGCTGCACTCCATGCGTGCGCTGCACACTACGAGTACTCTGCACTCCACGTGTGCGCTGCACTCCACGCGTGCGCTGCACTCTACGCGTGCACTGCGCACTATGAGTGCGCTGCACTCTATGCGTGCGCTGCACACTACACTGATTAAATTGTGGATGAATGCATGCGGGTATAAAATCATTCTCACAATAGACTTCTTAAAACTCGGATGTTCAGCCAATACAGTCGTATTTAAGCAAAGAGAAATGGGAGGCAGAATTTCCCTTCTTGGAACTCTCCGCATCTGAGCCTTCCAAGTTAGAAGGTTGTTGGTTTGCGCTTGGTAGATGTGTAAAAGCTAAGTGTTAGGTGGTTGAATGTTTCAATGTCCTTGTCAGTGTTGTCCCTTGTTGTCGCACTAAAATGAGTAAATTATCGTGTCCGTTCTCAAAGAGAACTCACGACAGTCGCTAACAAACTGTTAAACACTAGCGGCTGGTCACAAGTTCCCAGTTAACTGTGGTCCACAGTGGGTAGCAGCACGGCTGGAAAACCGCTCCCAGGCACAACAAGGTACCTCTTGTATCTCAACGTTGGTCTTTGACCAAACCACTGCGCCTGCCTGTTGTCGCACTATCAGACTGTGTAATGTCTCGTCACCTTGGTGGACTGTTAATCATGACTCGTACGTTACTGGTCCCTTTGACTCTAGACTTCATTTCGATGAAGTCTAAAAAGAATTTTATGGTTATCAAGCAACAGCATCATAGAAAAAAGAGTTTTTTCAACTGATAATCCCTCTATTCAGTTGCTATTCACGATCTACGCATGCGCTGCAAATGAAAATTCTTTTATGGTTGATGTAAAGGTTATGACGTTTCGAGACAGTCACCCACCCCCTTGTAAATTATTCTGTTGATGGGTGACTGGCCCGAACATCATATTTTTCACATCTACAATTACATCTGGCTTTGGAAATTTTATTTCCATTGCTATAAGGTTCGGCCTCATTACCTCTGTGCTGAGCTGATGAGCCCGCAAAGGTCGAAACAGTTCTGTCCGCAGATTGAGTACATCTACAGTTAATGAATATCCAATGCAGCAAAGAGAATCATGAATAGCAACTGGATAGTGCAGTTGTCAGTTGACAAACCACCTCTTCTATCACTCCTTCTATTACCACCATTCAATTACAAGCATACGACGAGTGGATTAAATTAATGAGGGGGGGGGGGGGGTGTTCAGGGAGCAGGTGTTAATGCTCAGTGTCGTGTACTGAACTGAACCACCGTCTTTTCTTATGTAGAGTAAGACTGGCTCAGTCGGATCAGTCAACAGGAAATCTAGAGTGTCCCCAATAATAGAGATACCTTAAACAGCGTGGACAGTCCTTTACGGCACACAATAGCCCTTTTGTTACATTCATTGTGACAGCATTTTCTCAAGGTGTGCCAGATCCACAGCAGCCATTACATACCACAGTACAGTGTGACATTAAAGCCGAGACCTTTGGTCGGTGGAGCCCCTGGTACCTCACCATCACTGCTGCCCAGTGCAGCCCCTGCTCAGTAGCTGTTTGTTTTTGTCCACATAATTATTTATTTTTACGAGTTGGGTTTGTGTATATTAAAATATCAGTTTATATGTAGTATTAACTGTAGTTAACACGCATGTAACGTTCTCTCAGCGCGTGCCCGCCTGCATTTACTGCACATAGTACTCCATATTTACCCGTAGCGATGCCGCTACTTCACACTGCATTCCACATCTACCCTTAGCGCTGTCGTTGCCCACGCACACCGCTGTGCACGTGACACGGGCACGGTTCGCGCCACGAGGGAGCGTGTTCCCCTCTAGCTCTGTCGGCAGCTAAACCTACCAGCGCATCTGACCCCATATGTGCATGCACTCGTGTTCTTTGTTCCTGTTGTTGCTTACCACTCTCACTTGCTGTTTGCTCCAACACTAGCTCTTTGCCAAATTTTCAAAAGTGTCGTTTTCCTGTACCTCCAGCGTTATCCATTCGAGACTATGGCCTCCCCTGCGTTCAGTAAACTCACTGTGCGGGAACCTACGCCTCAACCTCGTGGAACGGGGACTTAGTCCCGCCGGCAAGAAAGCGGAGCTGCTTGCCCGGTTGATACAATCCGAAGTCGGACCCCACGCGTCCTCTGTGACCCCCGCCGAGGCTGCCCGACAAACTGTCGAGGACAGGGAGACCCGCGAACCTACTATGCCTGTCGCCTCCGTGTCCGAACCTACTATGCCTGTCACCTCCGTGTCCGTGGCAATCGCGACTGCCCTGACACCGTTTATGGACCGACTGGACCATTTGGAAGATGCAACACAAACAGCAACCTCAGCCCCAGGTACGTCCACTGTGCATTCGTCTAGTGTTTCCTTCACCATGCTGCGTGACGACGGGCCTGTAAATATTTGGGCAAGCGCACCCCAGACCGTGATCGACAAAATCATCACACACCAATTTGTTGATTTACAACAACTGTTGCCCCCGACCGCCACGGACGTGCCAAGCCCCCACGCTCTAGTGTTGGGCGAGGAGGCACCCGGAAAATTCATGCTGTCCTCCCAGCCACGCATGTCCCGACGCATTTCGGACATCGAACATTGGCTAGAAGCATGTACGATATTCGCAGCCGTCTATCTGGATGCGCATCCGGGCAGAGCAGTAGAACTGTTGGCGTATCAGCACCATATTCTGAACTCCAGCAAGAAATTCACGTTTTCCGCAGTTGCGGAGTATGAACGCGCCTTCCGCCATCACGTCCTAGCCGTCACGCCGTTGGGACACAACACCACAAACACTGTCCACTACCGTGTTCTATGCCCGTGCCGGGCCCTTTCGGTCCAGCTCCGCGGCAGCCCGCTCGTCCACCGACCAGTGTCGCCTCTACAACCGGGGCGTGTGTCGCCGAAACCCCTGTCCGTACGTTCATCAATGCAGCACCTGCAATGTCTCTGGACACAGCGCACGAGATTGTCGCACAGGGCAACCGGCCAGCACGCGTTCCGTTGCACCAACAATCGCCCTGGACGCCCGTTCACTTGGATCGGCTTGAGTCGGCCCTGGCCAAGCACCCTGAACGCGCATTCGTTAACTCTCTTGTGCATGACATGCGTGACGGTGCTGTAATCGGTTACTCCGGTGATCGCTCTCATTTTGATGCTCCCAATTTAGTCTCTGCATTTAAGAACCCCCAAGCTGTCTCTACTTACCTGTCTAATGAATGCATCGAGGGTCATATGGCCGGCCCGTACACCCACTTACCTCACGCAGATCTGCGCTGCTCTGGTGTAGGCGTGGTCCCCAAGAAGTCGGGTAAACTCCGCTTAATTTTGCATTTATCTGCGCCTCAGGGCACTAGCATTAATGACGGTATAAGCCAAGACGAATTTTCTCTGCACTATATGACTATTCCGACTATGCCCCTTGGCCCCGTCCGACTGGCCCTTGCTGGGCATTCACTGGGACAACGCATTCTACGTTGACAAATTCCTACCCTTTGGCCTTCGGTCCTCAACATTTCTGTTCAACAGCTTCGCCGACGCCCTTTGCTGGGTAGCCACGAATAGATTCAATGTGCATGACCTGCTCCACTACCTCGATGATTTCCTCACAGTTCAACCCCCACAGCCGCCAAACTATGCTCGTCGGCACTTTCTCACGTTACTCGCAGTCATGGAGCACGTGCAAGTTCCGTTAGCCAAGGGCCCTGACACGGTGTGCCCACCGTCTACAATTGTCACATTTTTTGGGCATAGAGTTAGATTCCCAAGCATGGGAGATGCGGCTGCCAGCCCCAAAGCTGTTGGAACTAAAGAGCACCCTTGACTCCTGGGTACACCGAGTACAGTGCACCAAACGGGAATTGTTCTCGCTGGCAAGCTCTTTGTCATTTGACGCCAAAGTAGTACCGCCCATGCGCACTTACTGCCGCCGGCTCTTCGACGAGGCCAGCCAGTTCACGTCCCTTGACAGTACCCAGCGCCGGAACCAAGAGGCTCTAAACGATATATCCTGGTGGCACGCTCGCATTGAGTCATGGAACGGCCGATCACTACTGCTAGACCCATTCTGGTGCAAACCCACCGAGATGCAGCTGTTCACGGATGCCTCTGACTGTGGCTATGGCTTGTTCTGTGGCAAAGAATGGGTGTACGGCCAATGGGAGGCACTCCACA